CACAGTGAAATTATCTTATTCTGCAGATAGGTCCAATTTTTTGTGCTCCTGTATTCCAAACCTTTTTTCAAACTGGATTTCTCAAAATCGTATTGTGAAAGATGTTTCTTCAAATTATTCTCGCAGACTATTTTTCTTATTCTGACGAACATAAAATCCTTTTGATTAGAAAAACTTAATAGATAAATATCCATAAAAAATGAATTATTGTCTTTTTTTCTCAGGTCAATTAATGATTAATGTTGATTTATCGACGAAAGTTATGAATAAACAAACGGTTTATTGCATTTTGATGGATAAATTTAATTGTTTTAATGATGCTAAACAAGCGCAAGATGCCTCATTGAAAGAGCTTCTTGGACAAATTGTATTAACACCGTTCGTTTTTTATTTGTTTCTTTTTCTTGGACATTGCATACAATTGTTTATATTTCATAGATACAATAATGAAACATACAAAATTATGGATGTTGCTTGGGATAAAGATCCAAATTATCAATTTACTAAACGTGATGGTACACAGCAAAGTCTTTGTCAATATTATGAAGATGTATGTTTCAAATTGAATAAATACTCTTTTCATGGCAAGCACAAGCAGAAAGGATTACTTTAGTTTAAGACTAAATATTGCGATGCTCTCAGAAATATGTCGAAAATTAGATCAAAATCTACTGTATGCTTAAACCTACACCAAAAGTCTTCACCTATTCCCTAAAAGAAGATCTAGCACAAGAAAATTTCCTAAAAGAACTTTTCTTATGGGCTTAAACCTATACAGACTTGAAGATGTACTCATTAGACATGATGTTCATATTCAGCAGGCTATTGTACATGAGACAAGAAATTTCACTAGATTTATCTTTAATCTCTTTTCGAAGTTTTTTTTTGACTCTATACAAATAGTATACTTCATCACAGACATATGTTAATGCCAGATTCCTAATTTACATTTTAATTCTATAAAGATTATGCAAATAGTTGTCGCATTTTTGTATTTTCTTAGAAATATCATATTAAAATAAAAGATGGACAACAACCATTAATTGTTGTTAAAGCAAGTAAACGAATGACTAAACGTGGTCCGACAAAAGATGATCCCGGAATGATATTTTTAATTCCTGAATTATGTTGCATTACCGGTAAGAAGAAAGTTTTCCTTTTTTTCTGCCTATTTTCTAGCTTTATACTGAATATATATTTTTTTTTATAAAGGTATTTCGGATTCAATGAGACAAGATTTTTCATTGATGAAAGAAATGAGTACTTATACACATGTAGGACCAAATGAACGATTTGAACAATTAAATGGTTTTCTTAATGATATTCAAAAACGTGAAGAAGGACGTAAAGAGTTAAATAAATGGCAAATCAATTTAGATAAAGAACTTGTTCGACTTACTGGTCGTACAATGGAAGCTGAACCTATTATGTATAAAGATGTATAAAAACATAGCTATTGGAAAATCAACAATGAATGAATTATATTGTTTTTGTGTTTCAGCGAACGATTAAATATAATCCATTGGAAGCTGATTGGTCTCGTGATGGCCGTTCATTAATGCATCTTTCAGCTAAAAATCTTGATAAATGGATTCTTATTTATTGTCAACGCGATTCACAAGTAGCACATTCATTTGTTGACGCTCTTTATAAAGTTTGTACACCATTCGGTTAGTTTCTTTCTTTTGATTTTTGTTGAATTTTTTCTTATTCTCGTTTTCCTTTTCGTAGGAATGCGAGTTGATTTTCCTGAAATGTCAGTTAAAATTTTTTTAAACAATCATTCAAATGCATTTTATTTAAAATACTAATTATAGGATTGAATTACCAAATGATAGACCTGAAACATTTATTCGTGCTATTGAAAATAAAGCTCATCCCAAATTGGATTTGATTTGTTGCATTTTAACTAACAATCGAAAAGATCGTTACGATGCAATTAAAAAAGTTTTATGTGTTGATTGTCCTGTACCATCACAAGTATGTTTTTTGTTTTTATATGAGCATGTTTGAGATCAATATCTGTTGCCTGTCGAGGATCTGCATACACCTCAATCGATATGATAAATGTAATAAACGATTTTTTCACACTAGTTTGATGTTTATTTGGAAGGATTCTAGATAAGGTTCGATTATCAAAAGAACAGATCGTGTTAAAATGAAGAAGGAAGTGAATTCCTGTCTGGTAAGGTAACTGCCCGATAGTATGTTCTACAGCTTAGTAGCAGATTAAAATTAGTTAGATATCTTCATTACAATTAATATTGACTGTTATTGTAGACAAAATGTGAGCTGCTTCGTGCAGAATTCTTATTATTAACTATTTGAACTCTTCGTATGCATTACCTAATTACGTACTTCGTATTTTCCAACGTAGCTAATATGTTATCAGCTGCATTTTACGAACGTAGTTATCATTAGGGACTGGCCAAAAATTGTCATATCGATGTTAATAGCAAGGTTTGCATACAATACATTGTGAAAATATGTCGAAAACATGACTATTCAATAGTATTTACTGAAAAATATGTATATGATAAGCAGTTTCATGCAGTATTGCGTACTTTTAATATTAGAATAGAATTGACTGAAGTCTTTGTAAAACATGCTGTAGATAATCATATCGAAGTTCAATAGAGAACTTAATTCTTTTTTGATTTTTTTTCTACAGATGCTTTTATCAAAAACATTACAAAAGCAAGGACAACTGATGTCAGTTGCAACAAAAGTTGGTATTCAAATTAATGCAAAACTCGGTGGTGAAATATGGGCTGTTCAAATTCCGGTTTGGCTTTTTTTTCTACTGTTTAATAATGAATTAACTGTTCTTCTTATGTTTGATTTCGTAGTCAAAAACATTAATGGTGATTGGTATTGATATATATCGTGATTCTCAATCGCGTTCATCTCAAATGATTGGTTTTGTTGCATCAATTAATCCGACATGTACTCGTTACTATTCACATGTTATTGAACAACGTAGTAATAAAGATATGATAATAGGATTGAAATCGTGCATGCAAAGTAACAGACATCGTGTCCTTTTTTTTACACATGGATCTAACTATTGTCTTATAACGATATAGATGCACTTCAAAAATATCATGAAGTAAATGGTAGTTTACCAGCAAAAATTATTGTTTATCGAGATGGTGTTAGTGATTTTCAAATAATTGATGTTATCGAAAATGAATTACCAGCATTAAATGAAATTTGTATGAAAGCACAAGAAGGCTACGAGTTAGTTTTAACTTCACTTTACTGTTTTTGCTATTAATTGTATATTTAGTCCAAAGTTAGGTATGGTTATTGTTAAAAAACGAGGGAGTGCTCGATTTTTTGCTCGTGATCCACGTAATAATCATCAGTTAATCAATCCACCACCGGGTACAATCATCGATCATACTGTTACTAATCAAGGTTTTGTATTGAAATTTTAAAAAAAGATAATCTAGCTATAATTAAATATTAGAATGGTATGATTTCTATTTGATTTCACAAATGGCTCGTCAAGGTACTGTTGCTCCAACACATTTTAATGTTATTTGGGATCGAACCGGGTTAGTATTATTTTCATGTTGCTTTGAAATCAAATAAAATGTTTCCTAACTTTTTCAGATTAAAAGTTGATCATATGCAACGATTGACACAAAAACTTTGTCATTTATATTACAAGTCAGTTAATTTTTATTGTCATTTCTTTTAATCAGTGAATTTCAATTTTTAGTTGGCCTGGTACAATTCGAGTACCTGCTGTGTGTCAATATGCTCATAAATTAGCTTTTCTTGCTGCTCAAAGTTTACATACTCAGCCACACGAAAGCTTAGCAGATAAATTATTTTACTTGTGAAGAAAGAAAAAATAGTATCTTTATATGTTTCTGTTTTGAAAAGTTTGATTTAGTTTGTTTGTTTTTATACTGTTTGATTACTTTTCTTTTTCTGGAGTTATAAGCCTATATACTTCAGAATCTGAAGGACGTTTTTTTTGTTTTTGTTTGTTTGTTTGTTTGCTTGTTTTCTGTAACTGTTGTACTTGTGTGAGTGTTTTTTTTGTATCACTTTAATGTGAACTAGTAGATCAAGATATTTTTCATTTTCTACTATGTTTTGTTGAAAAAAATCGAAAGGGATCAATAAAACAGAAGTGAACATTGGACGATGAAAGTTTTCTTTTACGGGTATGATCCGCTTTTATCCCACTGCCAAAAATATTCAACGTATTTTTCTTTGATTTTCTATCAAATGCTTTGAATTGAGGTACGAAGTATTATTTATTTGGTTCAATGGAATAAAATACTTGTAGATTGTATTTCTTTGTTAACACATCACGATAGAAGAATACCGTCTTTTTTTTTACCAAAGACGCTATTCAAAAAAGGCTAAAAAACTGCGTGTTGATTTTATTCGTGTATTAGTATTTATGAGGAAAATTTTTTAAAGTAAGCACACAAAAGTTAGAAAATCAACTACATAAACTGGTTATTAAAATCAAATTCTCAAATCAAAAATCAGATGTTTCAATTGAAAATCTTTACCGATATTATATAGGCGATATGATATTCGTTACATAGAGAATTTATATTAAATGTCGTCTTATTTATTCATTTTTAAAACCATCGATATAAATGTTGATGTCTTTTTCGATGAATGAACATGACAACACATGTTTTGTTTTTTATCAGCAATATCTATTATCTAAACATTTTTCATTATTTCCAATAATTATTTTTCTTATTAGATCAGTATATATACCTCATTGTTATATTGAAACGTGTCATCGATTTTCTATATCATATTTTGATTTTTTCAGTTTTTCTTCGCAATATCTAATTAACAAGAATACGCTCACGCAAATGATATTTTGTGTAAATATTACAAAAAAATAAATAAATAAAGTAAAATGCTTATTATGATATTTGTATTTTCTGCCCCTTAAAAATGATCATACATAAAGAAAAGTTTTTTTTAAATATGAGGAAAATAGAATTAGTAACTATTTAACTAATAATGGTTTGTTCAGGTGTACGATGGCCATGTGAATCAATCGCCGACATTTCATCGATTTGTCTTAGGTGAAGTATTTGTTTGAAGTCCTAGATAAAAAAAAGAGAATATGAACAGAAAATTCATATCAATGAAATCTTACTGGTGCTCGATATTTGCAACAATTAGCAACCATATCGGCAATTATTGGATGGTTAAGCAATGCAGACAAATGAATTTTTGAAGAACGATCGATCTGCATTTCATTCCAGACAGCATAAAGACGCTCCTACAATCATTGGATTATTAAACTAATTATATAATTTACAAAACAAATCAAACTTTTGAAGCAAAATCTTCTGGATCTTCAGTAGTAGCAAATCGATGTGTATCACCAAATTTACGTTCACCATGATGTAGAACCTATTGAATTGAAATTTAAAAGAAACACGCATACAAACATTTGTCCATGATTAGATTTACTTGATGAAGTCCATCAACTGAAATAAATCCATCATTAGGCAGTTCCGTTTCATTATCCTGCAGCTGTTCTCGTTCTCTCTCTAGAAATCGTTCATATTCTTGTGTACTTAAAGTAGCACACTGCATGTCAATTTGTGGTAATTGTTCTTTTAATGTGGGCATTGCTGTACGTTCGGCTATCGCTAATGCACGACAGAAACCGTGTAGTGGATTCGGTACTGCAGCCATATAATAGAGCATATCTTCATAAGGCAATAATGATGAATTGTCATCAAGTGCAAACAAATCGAACCAAAATTGTTTTAAATGATATTCACGATTGTAAGGACGTGGCAGAGATTGATCATCAGGTGTTGCAGGACGTTCCATTATAAACCAAAGTGGAATCTAAGACAAAGTGAAAAACACAAAAATTTTTCTAGAGAAAGTAACATCGCATCAAAGATTACGTCATTAAATGTTGTACGAGAAATAAAACCTGAATGATCACTATCGTTTTCAGCATAGGTAAAGAGAAGATTGAGTAATTCTTGCTGCGTTGGATGAGGCCATGGTTGTGAAGAAAATAATAACCATAAACGCCAATTGATAAATTCAGAACCATTTGAAAGCATTGCAGCTAATGATTCGATCTAAAACATTTAGTATGAATTCAAATTATATTTATATATTTTTGTCAACGTGCCTGTATTTGATCTATATTTAACCATGTTTCAGGTAAAAGTCGTTGTCCTACAGTGACTGTAGTCAGATCTGTATATAAATCAATAAAAGTCTTTGTTGAAAGAAGACCGGTCGGTGCCGTTAATGAAAACTAGAATTTTGCATCATTTGTTTTTATTAATAATCTTTTAATCTAATTCATGATTTACCTGTTTGTAGAGTTCTCTCAATTGATCAATGGTAAATAGTTCAGGTACAGCTTCTTCTAAAGGTAGTGGACGAGGCGGTGGTATTGGTGGCGGAGCAACAATGACATCCTATTAGCAAATGATTCATTAATCTCTTTTTTTTTTCATGAGGAAAATAAAAATCTCTTTATTTACTTCAGCAATATAGAATGAATATCTATCGAGCACAAGTTGTTGCTCAATTTTTTCTTTCGATTCAATTGCATATCGAATTATTTTAGCCATAATTTCGATACTTTCAGTTTCTTGTTTATATTTTTCACCAAGCCATTCGAACATACGTGCATATGTATCATCAGCTTTGTTCTTAAGACCCGTAATAGCCCGAGAACCAACGTCACGTATAAGCATTAGACGAGCATGACAAATGCGAACTAAAATGGAATTAGTTATTCGTTTTTTATCTTTTAGAAATATGAATCAATCATTAATTCAATTTCCTAGCAATGCTATTTAGGTGAAACTATAGAAATTTGAAAAAATATTATTTTCGCTAAATACGTATGTTTATCATTAGAATAAATCGATTGTTTCTTTTATTTATAGTTTTTCTTCATACAAGGATCGTAAAAGTTACTTGTAAGAAGGATACATAGAAAACAAAAGTGTGATTTATCTTGATCAGAAATAGATGCATGAATATTAGAATAGTAGGTGTTAATCAAATCTATAGGATTAAATAAATAGTTAAATAATATCTTACCTTCGTGACTAAGTGCAGATAAATATTCTTCTTTCATTTTATTTCTTAATTCTCGTTTTGCCAGTTCTTCAGGTGTCGCTTCGACTAAATCTATATTTAAAGAATTCAATAGCATATTTCTCATGTTAGAATAAAGAGGCTAAAACTCTGAGAGAGTATAAGTCAGATTTTTGTTCATGATAATATGATTCAAATAAATTGATTTATGGGTATACTCTCCTTCTATATATATATATATAAGGAGAAAAAAAATGCATATGAGACAATGATACGTACGTTCTACAAGTGGCTCATCTGTTTTTTTCGCTCCTTTTTTACCACCTTTTCCTGCTGAATCTTTTCCACCGGCACCTTTTTTATCACCTTTTGCATCTTTACCAGCACCTTTAGTATCTTTACCACCAACAGCAGTGGATCCAGCAGCACCACCGGATGCAGTCGCAGTTGCCGTGGAATCTAGTTCAGCGACTGCTTGTTCACTAGTAAGCTACAATAAAATATTCAATGATTTCCACAATCCGTTTCGACAAGAAAAAACAAACCATATCGTTGATATATTGATTGGCTAAACGGTGAGCATCAAAGATAAGTCTCTCGTCCATATCTTCGGGAGGTGGAGGTGATGGTTCACTAGCATTAGGATCATCGGTACGTTTTTTAGCTGCTGCAGCTTGATTTGAACGTTTCTTATTATCAGTGGTATCAAAAGCTGATAATGGTCGCCGAGGTACCAAAGGTAATCTGTACAACATAAGTTTAAAAAATTGTTATATCTATATCTATATATATTATACTCAGCTTTATCTTACTTAGGTTTAAGATTTTTTAATGAAGGATCGTGTCCAAGTGATTGTGAAGTGTTATCAAGCGATTGTTGAGTTTCTTTCTCTTTTTTGCCAGCTGCTTTTCTTCCGCCTTTTGGAGATTTAGGCGGCGACGGTGTTCTTTTACTGCTTTTACTTGCTGATGACGCTCGTTTGCCTTTTTTTGGTGTACCAATTTGAGAAGCTGATTCCAAATCAGCATTACCCACGGATAAAGCCGGCGTTTTTGTTGCATCATAATCAACAAGACTTTCTGCAACGGAAGCTGGCCGTTCTGCTCCTTCCATTAATTCAAACAATGGTAATCGTGCATAATCTTGTTTCATTTCATCTGGAATTGGTTGTTGCATTGATTTATAATAATCTCGAAGCATACGTAACGCATCTTGATATCGATCAATTTCACTCTTTATGAATATATAGAATAATTATTCGAAGTAAAAAAACAAATTTAATATCGCCTATCATACCTGCATCAATGTTACATAATGATTTGTTAAAAGTCCTAAATGATCTGAAACCCATCCATCAGTCATCACCATTTCCCGTTCTTTCTCTGACTGTTCTTTACGTTCTGAAGCTATATTATGTAGAATATCGCTCAAATCTTCTACTCTTTGATGAAGTTCTTGTTTAAATTCATCATCATCACGAGCATCATCTGGTAATGCATTGAATTCCTATTAAACCATTTAATCGATTTTAGCTTTTAAGAAAGATTTTGAGAAAAACAAGAAAAAAACATTAGTTAGTTACTTTAACGAAAAGATCAACATGTTCTTGTTTAATATCAGGTTGATCCAGAAAAATCTTAAAATTGACTTTTACATTATAAAAATGATCAATAAGATACGAGCGTTCCAGTCGAATATTTCGAAAAACAAGTTTGCATGCATCTATGTAATTCGATTCGACTGCATCATAATAATTAGAAAGTATAGCGGCGATTTCCTAAAACAGAAATAATTAAGAATGAATAATCATATGCGTGAGATAATTTGAAAATCTTGCTCCAATTATAATGTTGTCCTTACTAAGTCGATAACTTCTTGAATATAAATCCATTCTTCAGAACCAGGTTTTGGTGGAGGTGGTCCCTGAGGTTCAAGTGGTACTGTACCAACTGTTGGTGTTGGTTCGTCTTCTGAATCATTTATAAAAGGAAAAATAATCATCACGTTAAACATTTGTGCAAGTTCTTTTACCTTTTTTACCCTTCTTAGCGCTAGTTTTTGGGCTACCTTTCTTTGCAGCACTAGCAACTGGTGATCGATCTTTTTTGCCTCCTTTTCCACCTTTTTTGACTGCTGCTTCTGAAATAGAAAAAAAAGCAATTAGAAATATTACTTTTGAATTGAAATGAGTAATATAGCATAGTGACTGTTGCTAATAAACGAAATATTGTCTTAAATTATCAATATGTTTCTCTATTGATGTTCTATGGAATCCTACAAAAATAAAACAGCGAAGTATTTTAGATATTATAGTGAAACATTTTTGGTATACAATCTCATATGATATATCAGCAATATTTTATCGTAGATTTTGATAGACTCGCACTGATATCTATCTTGATATATCCGCTACATTGGATGCTATGTCACTCATTGTTGGATACGGGCAGTTTCAAAAATCCAGGAAAGGAACTCTTCATCAAGTTGATCTTCCTTTAAAAGTACACAGATAATCATAATAGTAGGGAAGATATTAGACTATTGACTATGTAGTTATGCATTACTTTGTATTGCTAGACCACTGAAAACTGAGGGCATTCATCCATCTATATTGGTCTGTAAACAATGAAAATTCTAATTTCTAAATCACCACGTTGGTAGTCGTTTTAGATTGTGTTTTACAAAAATAAAAGTCAAGTAAAGATTTTTATAATCAAAATAATAATGCAAACGACGCAAAAATGTAAATAGTTTTATCACTTTTAGATGATTTGTTCGAACGAACAGAAATGTTTTTCTTAACACTACTGTATCTTTTTTTTCGATATTTTTTCTTTTCATTGCGTTTGAATAATGAGCTTGATCGTTGCTTAGAAGAATGATAACTTGGTGACTTTGACGTCAACAGACTATTACTTTCTACAAAAATCAAGTTAAGGATTAATTAAAATTGACACGACGTTGATGAGATTTGATACAAATAAAATAAAACAAAAAATAATCGATTGAAATACATACCAGCTTCAGCAGCTTCTTTAGCAGCGCGTTCAGCAGCAGCAGTCTGTAAAAGAAGAAGCAATGAAGAACTTCTTTGAAATTCGAACATTAGAACTTTACCGCTTCTGCTGCTTCTTGCGCTCTTACTGCTTCTTCTTCAGCTCGTCTCTTTGCTTCCAGTTCTTCTTGCTCCTTGGCTAAACGTTCACATTCTTCTCGTTGTCTTTCTTCTTCTGCTTGTCTAATTTTCGCTTGTTCTTCGTCAACATGTGTTTCGATAGCGCGACATAATTCGTGATATAATTGTTCTTCATCTAATGGTGAATCAGATTTTGTTTCATCGACAACAACAACTTTCGAATATTGAGAATAGAATTTTTCAATTCGAGGATATGAATCTTGAAATTGTGTTATACGATGTTGTAATTGTTCCATGTCATTAGCCGCATCTTTAGTTGGAAACACTTGTTCTTGTCCATTGAATCCTGTTGCAGCACCAACTGGAGGTGAATTGTATTGTTCATGAAATTCTCGATTGGCTAATGGAGCAACTAAAATAAAATAAAATAAACTATATTTATTGGAATGAATTTTATTTGCTATGTCTACATGAACGACCAGCTGCACGTCGAATGATAATATCATTTGTCACATGAAAAAGAACCACAAGATCGATGATTGACTTATATGGCTCAGGTGGTGGTGTAGGACGTGGGTTAGGTGCCAACATAGGATCAAAATCTTTGGGATGTTCTTCTTCATAACCTGCTAACGCACTTTCGAGTAATTTTACTTGATCATAAGTCGTTGGAAATCCATCGATAATCCAACCTTCACCATCTGGAATTCGTCTAAATTTTTGTTTTTGAAAAAGAAGAAAATAGTTGAGAAATTAATTTTATATTTCGAATACGAACCGAAGACGCTCAACAGTCAGTTCTACTGCCATGCGATCACTTAATGATTCACCGAGTTTCATTGATTGAACAATAATAGAGCCAAGTCTAGCACGATCAGTTAACTACAAATCATACAACAAATCTATTCAGTATTTTTGTTAATCAATATCACACACTTTATCCATTCGATTTTTTTTGCTATTTAACTTTTCCGTATTCGTTCCATCGGTAAGATCGTCAAGCGTTGGATGAGGTCCTGGCGGATATTCACCATCAGTTGTATCTTAAAAAATATTCAAATTGAAATTGAAATAAAATAGCATTGGCAAACATAAATAAGTAAAACTAGAGTATATGCAAAATTGTAAAGAGTGAAACCTGATAAAGATTTCTGATATGGAATATTGAATGATTTAGATGATTCGAGTAATTTCATTTTCTTCTTTATTTTATGAAAATGTTTTAGTTGTCGTCTTTTCTTTGCATTATAGTTCACATTGAATGTATGACAATCAACTGCTAATATTTGTAAACATGATGAAAAACTGCTTTTAACTTCTGACTTTTTAAATATATCAAAACTATTTTCACTTTCAATATTAATATAATACTTCGGATTTTGATCTAGACTAATATTTTAGTATTAAAAATGACTGCACGACAAAGCAATTTACCTGCTTGATCAACCGACGAGTTTCCGTGCGGTATAGGAATATCATCATGATCAATTTTTGCTGAATACTCCATATCCGTTTCATCTGTCTAAAATGATAAATATTTGTTATGAATGTGTAAATATATTTATCTACTGACTTCTCCAGCACGCAATTCATTATTATTGAACGCTTCTAGAGCTTCATGTAATAATTGTTCAATGTTAAGAATTGTGACGCCATTTTCTAGAAATATCAGATATTTTTAAATATAGAAAAAAAGCCATCCACTATTACGATACGTCAAAATAAAACTAAAAAAGTTTCATATGTTTACATTTTAGATGGATGAAAACATCAAGGCGAAAACAAATAGTTCAAGATTCAGACTAGCAGAGTTTTGTCACACTCTTAATTTTAATATGCTTTTGTCTAAATATCTGAACGTAAAAAGTTTGCATCACAATTCAAATCAATAAATCCAGTATATAGCTGTTCTTGAGTCAGAGAAATAGTAGAAGCTAGGAAGCACATATCTACTAGTCGGATTCTTTAATATCTGATTAAAAATCAATTATATATAGTCATCGAATTCGGCCACTAGATTGATACTTCTAATCCTCTAACATTCTATCATTTTTATTTTATCAGAAGTGGTCTATATCTATTGACTTTATCAGACAATTTCAATATTTACATACATATAGGGAGAGAGAGAGAACAACAAATGCCAATACAAACTATCTAGTGAAAAATCGGATAGATGGCGAAAAACAAAGAATTCATTAGGTTTAAGCGCAGACTCAATTAACACGACATCATTTTCTTGTTTAATTTTATTTTCAAATACTTACCGTTAGTTTTGAACTATAGACAACATCTATTGAGTATATTCTAGGGTAGCTATATAATGAACTGAAATTATTATTTATCGATTGGGGATGAATGAATATATTTATACAAGTTATACTATTTCATTCATTGTTGAGACATCTTTCGGGTCATATAGATTATCATCCAGGAATCTTAGGTAGACTCAAATTCAAACTTGAATAATTTTCAATATCGTTTCTACATTTCTAAAATTTTTGTGTGTACATCTGCCATAGGTAATGGTGACAGTTTTGATATTAACATACTTCTGTTTGGGGAAAAAAAGTTGTTTTTAAATATCTTTACAATCTTCATAAATTTCAAAATTGATCGAATCTTGTCGTTACAGCATCAACGATTGCTAGTCTTTTTTTTCTATCAGTAGTTGTTTAAAATAAATGAACTATTCTATTGTGTGGTTTTTTCAAAAAATAATAGTAATAAGTACCTTCACCGTATCGTTTGAGTGCACTTGATTTACCAGCAAAAGATTTTCCTAAAATAATAAGTTTAAGGCCAAATGCTGGAAATAATGGTGGCGGAATTTTAACCTTAAAAGAAAAATTATATTTATTAACAATAATAGTGGATTCGAAAAGAAAACTAAACATACAGCTGGTGGATGTACAATATTATGTAAACGATTAACAACATAACCAAAAATAGGATTATCAATTGGTGGTACATGAGTAATTACTGTTGAACTTTGACTGCCAGCTGGTGGTTCCCATTCACCAATCATATTTCGATATTCATTAAAATCACCTTCATCTAATATTTTCAAACTTTCTTCTTGTAAAACTGTTTGAGCATGAAGCTTTTGTTCTTGTCGATCAATTTCATCTTGTTGAATTTCTGAAATACGTTGTTCATCATCAAAAAATGATCTATCACCAACAAATAGTGCATTCCATTCACGCCACACTTTGGCTGGTATTAAACTATGTAGAAAAAAAGCGAAACCAATCTCATGATTATTGCTGAATGAAATAAAATGAATTACTTTTCAGTTAACTGTCGATATTCTCCAATTTTCAGCGCAAAATCAACCAATTGCCATGTGAGCCGTGTGCAAAATTCGATGTGTTTTTTATGTTTAGCTTCAGCTTTATCAGCTTGAATAATATCATGTAATTCTTTATCTTTGCGTACTTGTTCAGCATACTCGAGTCGAGCTAATCGTGCTAATTCCTATGGTAATAATTATTTTTAGTATGGCTAGATTTGAATCTAAACGAAAAATTTCCTACCGCTTCTCGATCCATAGCTTCAACAAAATCTTGTCTTCGACGAATTTCAAGTTGTTTTTCATATGCAATACGATTTTGACGTAAAATATCTTTTTCATGTCTTGTTTGTAACAATTCAACAGCAAGACGTCGTTCAAATTGAGATTGACGAAGTAAATGACTAACAAGTGATTCTTCACGTTTAGAATCCTACATTTTATTAGAGAATATAAATATATTGTTTATGATTTTATTTAGATGTTACTTCTATGGCTTCAAGTGCTCGAAGTTGATCGACTAAGACTTTTCGACGTCGTTTTTCTCGTTCACGCCTTGCATGAATATCTTCTTGAAGACGTCGTCGAATTTCAAGTATGTAAGGATCAACTTGTCCCAATTGTGAAGGTTTTGTATAAGCCACTAACTCGTATGAAGTTGTTGTAGCCATTTTACTAGCTGAATCCTTTGGTTCTTGTTCATATGGAGATGATAATTCCATATCCGATAGATTAGTTGATTCTCTACACAGATAGTAAACAGTATACGGTAAATATCTTTCCGGTCAGCAAAAATAATTACAATCTTCACCTAGCTCGAAGCTTTTGAATGAATCATTTTTATAAATGATATAAGACTGGTCAAGTTTTTTTCTGCATCCGAACAATTTTACTGAGAACTACTCTCCATTGTCAATATTCAACTCGATAAGTGTTCTAAATTTTATGTGCTTAAGGAAAAAAGCGAATGTAAAGTACACCGTCACCCAGCAATAAGAGCTTTTTCTAATAGGAGCCTTCAATGATACGTTCATTATCTTCAATAAGCACAAAGTATACATATATTTTTTATGCGTTATGCGTTATGTTTAAACTGTAAAAATGGATTTATTTATTCATAAGTATCATAGTGATAGAAAGAGAAAACTTGTAAAAATTATTCCTTACTACATTCAGACTATTTTAAATTTACGCTTACCTAATAAAAAAAAACTTTTTCTCATATTTTCAATAGACATAATCGCTTTTTTTCATACCCCTGTGTATTTTCATCGAAACCTTCATCGTCATCAAATTCAGTATGCTGTAAAACACGTTTTTCGAATCGTCGTATATCATTCATTGTGTCCTAATTATTATTATTAATCAGATAATTTATATAAACAAAAAAGGACTCGAAATCAAACCTGCATTTCTACTTCTTTTTTTAATCGTCGCTTTTTTTCAATTGCTTGTTTAGAAAGAAGTGGGGGTGTTTTTGGTATCAATACTACATTTGCTCTAAACAAATAAATATCAAAATATATTATTTGTTTTAGAAATATTTCGAAGACATTTTATTGAGATATAATAGCATGCAAAGCAACAAAAATAAATCATATAAAATCTACATTTATAGATGTATGTATATATATATATATATATATATATGAATATGTATAGAGAGAGAAAAAGAGAAAGAGATCGAACAATATCGGTAATCATGCTGGATCAATATAGGTATAGATAATTGAAGAAACATGCAGTATGTGACAGAAAGAAATAACTTACGGCATCGGCTCGATTTCGAGCTCATATCCAAGATCCTGTTGCTGTAATCTAATGAAATTCTCAATTGAAACATTTTTCAAATTAAAACTTAGAAGTCATGTGAATATGTTATAGGAAGAGAATAAAATATAAAATAACTAATGTTTTACTTAAGTTTAGCCATCATTTCGGCATCCTTGACACGCTTTTCTTTTGAACGGTTGAGTAAATATTGTCGTTTGGATTCTAGGTCTTGTCGCTTTTCTTCTTCATCTTCATATCTATTAAATAAAAGTTTGTAATGTTTTATTTTGCCCAAATTCAAAGGATGGATTCGATAATTGTTGAAATTGACGTGCTGAAGAAAATTTGATTTCTCATCTATTATGAAATCCGAAAAATTTGCCCAACAATGATTTTTAATAGAATTAATCATACAATTCTTATTTGTACTACAATCAAGTGAACAAACTCAGTCAATCTTAATCACATGTATCTTGAATAGAACTGTAAATATTAATCAGGAAATTTTTGTGTACCTATTTTATAATTTCAGAGGTTGTTTTCAATCACAATTTGAGATGAAAAATAATAAAACATTTTAGAATCAGCATCAAAACCCGACTTGATTTCAATATATATATATCGAGAATTTTCATGAGCTCTTTTCGCTATCACAAAATCTTACTCAAGAGTATCCATCAGAATTCTGAGAAATAATTAATCTTTTTGAAGATTTTGTTTTTAATGAAAAACATATTCTAATATTGTCGAGTTGACAATAGAGCTGAAAAAACGGTAGATGTTCAAGATCCAACTGTGAAGGTTATTCTAACACTAAATTCTTTCGAAGTACAAAAAGCTTACCAGAATCCTTTACAAATGACTCTGTTATAGTCGGATACGCATACTGTTTCAGAATATCCTATTGATTTCGTTTGAATTTTTATTTTTCTAGTCGAAACCTACTAAATACGTGGAAATTTTCTCAAATCTCGTCTCGAAACACAGATTCGACGAACTATTTTGTTTTAAATAGTATTCAGTGTTCTTCATACATATATTGGTATGATTTCAAAGTGCTATCAAAAGATAGAAATAAAAAATAGTGCTGATGTGGGAACAAGTGGATTATGTTGGTATAAGATTTTAGTTAACAATGCAGAAAATATTTGAAGTAAATGCATATCAAAATGACTCGTTTCGTATCACCTCAAACTGGACAGTCTGTTCTTTTTGTGATATTTTTGTACGATTTGAAGCCGTATAAAAGCTATATTCAGTCATACAACTACTGTTAATGTAGTCTCTCTACAAACTAATAGATAGGCGGAAACTGATTATTAACAGACAGGTACAGTGTACATATGAGAAACATTAACTATTTTAATTAACCGATACAAACTACAAAAAGTTTTTGATAAGTCAAACCCTGCGAAGAATGACTCAGAATCATTGTTAGCATGAATTTAACATGACTAAAATCAAATTTCTGAACTTGATCAATTTTATTATTACCGCTCCTACTTCTTTTTAGATTTTTACTTTTGTTTGTTGATAATTTCGTCTTGTCGTGCTTTAAATTGTTCATGTTTAGCAATAAGTTGTTGTAAACTAAGATCACATTGACGAGTTGTTTTTTTCCTAATTAACTATAGAACATATCCTTAAGTATATATCTATCCATGTTGACAAAAGACAAACAAACATTTTGATATTGCAGTGTTTCTGCTTGAGCTAAAATTTTTGTCGCTGGCGCTTTCATGGTTTCCATAGCTGCTCCAGTTAAATTTCGTTTCTTTTTTCTGTTTAAAGCTGTATATAGTTGATATAAAAGTTGTTGAACAGCACCCTTTTCCATCGTCATTATTTGTCGAGCATTATTTGTATTAAATGGAATTTCAAGTAAATGAAGTGTACGTTCAATTCGCGTGAAATTATTCAATTGAGATACTGAATTCCTGAGCGTGTGGGTATAGAAATAATCGGGAAAATAAAATATGAAAAACAAGATTTATCAAAGATACTGACTTGCTTGTACTAAACTGAGGAAAATCTTCTTGTAAACCATATTTAGAAAGAATTTCACCGAAAAGATAACCAGTAGCAAATTCATTTGCTAGATTACTACTGGACTCTGATAAGAGAAAATAATGTGAAAACTAGAAAACATTTCAATCAAAAGGTACTATACCAATGTTCTTCGATAGCTCAACATCATTGTTGAGCCAATCGATAAGAATATGAGCCATATTTTCTTAATACGAATCGCAGTCCAATCTAAAGTAATGTTAGCATAATATTTGTTTCAATAAAACCATTTACTTATACTTGTTAGTTTTCGTTACTTAGCAACGCTCTATATTAATGTCAAGCACGAAAAAAAATTCAAAACAAATTTTTCGTGTTTAATTTACCATAGTCCATAGTAAAGGAGTGAAATCAGTTTTTGATTCATAGTTCTATATATCAGATGGTTATTATTTCCATAATTGTTAATAGCGACATCTGTTTTATCATTATAGTAATTTCATTTTTCGCATAATATTGCCTCGTGCCAATCCATACAGGAGTCATGTGAAAGACCTGATATAGTTATCAGTTTAAAGTACTAACTTGATACTATTAAGCAACATATAAATTTCATTTTGCAGACTCCAGCTACAATAAAAATCAGTACCACAAAATGATGAAAAATGAGAAAATCATAATATTTTGTGACCTAAAAAAAACTATGATGCGAACTGAAAGCTCGTAATATTTTTCCATATATAGTGTTAGGGTATGCAAGTCTTAAATTGCTGAAAGTTTCAGCTTGTCTGCTCGAAGTCACTGTAAACGTGGGAGATTTCTGATGGAACTACCCATAAGTGAGGTAAAAAAGCAAAAGTTTAAAATTTATCCTATTTATATGCTTACCTATATTCGAATTATAAAATTTATATTTAGGATAAAATTTTATATTTTGCTTGTTGCTGTAGCTATATGAGTACCCGATTTTTTATTTTCGAATTGATACTGTGTAGTTGAACGATATTGATGAGATAATGCTGTGTGTAAAATTTCATGACAATCGGATTAGCGTTTCAGAAGTTATCCTAGGTCGAGCAATTCGACAGTAGGCACCTATCGGAACCCATCCGATCCGACTGGAATCCAATAGAATTTTATCGGATCCTGTCAGATCTTACAGAATTATCGTTGGATTCCCGGTTGAGGAATCGATGTCGGATCCTCAGTATCGGATTCCTATGAATTCCAACGAAAAACCGTTGGATGTCATCGGAAGTTCATAGGATTCCGACACTGAGAATCCGACATCGATTCCTCGACCCGGAATCCAATAGAATTGTATCGGATTGTAGGTTATTTCCAGGTTCCTATCGGATCCGATGTCGGATCAGTCGACCTGGGATTAGCAGAATTCATGCTTTTTTTGTTGATAGATCAACGTCGCATGTATTGAACGTAAGTTATTTGAATCTAATTGAAGTAATTATTCTTCTTTTATCCTTTATTTTAGATTACTTTTTCACATTACTTCTATTGAACGTAGGTTATTTTAATCCAATTCAAGCAACTATTTTATTTTTCGATCTCTTACATTAGATTGTCTATTCTGACGACTTTCATTCGCAATTAATATCAATTCATTCATGTTAACCGAATTTACATTTCTTTTTTATTTATAGATCTATACCGATTTTAATGGAGATAAGTTATTTCAGTCCAATTTATGCAATTAATTTTTTTGCATTTACTATTTTAGATTATTTATTCTCCAATTTTAATTTACAAGTAAGCTCCATTCATTCATTTCAATATGATTTATTCTTTATTCTTGTATTTATAGATGAACAACACTTCTATAGAAGGTATATTGATGCATTCTTATTGGTTTCAACACGCGTATTTTTTTCTCTTTTTATTTTAGATTATCGATTTTGTCGATTTTGATTCGCATGTAAAATTCATGCATTCAACTTTAGCAGAATTTACATGCTTTTCTTTATATATTAGTTTTATTTCTGTTAAAGTAAGCTTCATCAATCTAGTTTGTTTAAATTTATGAATGGGTACCCTGTTGTATTCTAGAGTGTTCTGGGAAATTATTTAAAGTTTGTTGTGAGTTGAGTTAGTTGGATTAACATAGTATATGCATTTTTTACATTTTCTCGTTCTAGTTTGGCAATGATGTTGTTGAATATGAGGTGTTCAGTTGTTTGTAAAAGGTATTGTGTTTGTTATTTACTGATTTTGTATTTTTCTTTTCTCATGAATGTGCTTTCGTAATTTTTATTTTATTTAGGTGGTTTTAATTGAATTAGTTCTGATTGTGGTCGTGGTAATCAATGAATTAAACGAAATTATGTGGTTGTGTTTCTGGAAACTCTAATAGATAAAAGTTGTGTTTATCTGTCATAGATTTATTCTGATGATTTAAAACTATGGAAAGATTACGGGTGTGGTTGATGGATTTTATTGGAAAGTTTTCTATTTTATCGGTAGCTATATATCGCGTCCGTCGGTTAGCTTGTGGTCATATCTAGAGATAAATTGGCATATTCTCGTATTCTACGAAACCTGGAAAGGTTTCAGAATGGTTTCCCAGAGAATTCTCACAGTGCTTTATATGCATTTTTCCAGCATTCTAGGAAACTTATTAAGGGTTTCCGAAGAAGGTTTCCGAACACTTTTAGGGTATATTATGTTTTCCCTTTCGGTAGCGTAGGAAACCCTAAAAGGGTTTCCTATAGTAACAATCTCGGAAACCCTTTAAGGGTTTCCGACAGTACGGAATATTTTTACAGTGTAGTCGTCGTAATTCTTTAAATATAATACACACCATATTATAATTAAGAAATCTCTGCTTTGCTTTTTCATTTTTATTAAAAGTGAGAGGAACATTTCTTTGAAATTTTTCTTGGAAATATTTTTTTCAATTTAATTCTTTGAAATTATGCAGTGCTAAAACTACCTGATGATGATCTTTGAAAAAGATCGAAACTAGTCGTAGTAATTCTTTAAATATAATACACACCCACACCCACACACCCTCGAAATAACTGCAACAACAAATAATTATAATAACCAACAGGATAATATAAATAAACTTTTAGGAGTTTTTATAATATTGAAGTATCCAAAAAATATCATCAATAAATATATTCAAGAGACTATGCAATCAAATAAAACCATAACAAACGAAAATGATGAAGACAAGAAAATCAAATAAGGAATTCTAATTGCCATTTATAGCAGGGTTGCCAAAACTCCTGATTTAGCCAGGAGAATCCTGGTTTTTTTACTTTTCTCCTGGTACCAGGAGCTGTTTTTTAAGGTTTTGCCCTGGTTTTTGCAATTTTGCTTCATTTTGGAGATTAATGACATTTTGAATCACTAACGTAAGACAAGTCAAGAGAAGAAAAAAGAGAAAAGAGAAGCATCACACTATTTGATGAATGAACCGACGAATAAAAAAGTTTGTTTTCATTGATATACGTAAACTAAGATTATTACTTTTGTAGAATAATTCTATGGTAAGAACTTATATGCTATAGATAAAAAAAAAAAGACTTCGTTCGACATTTATCGGATTTTTATATGGAAATAGATGAAATTGGTGAGGTATCAAATTCCTTACAGGGAAATCTTGTATCACAGCTTTTACTACCTCTGAAAAGCTCTGATTCTGTTTCACTATAACAAAATGCGAACGACTGTGAAATGATTAGTAATATAGGATACATCTGACTATCTTAGTTTTTTCTTACGCAATATTTAGACAACAATGTGCTTGTCAATAACTTAGCAGCAGAAAATATCAACCAGTTTCGTGAACGAAAGTTCTCCTTGTCTTCTAAGAAAGACAGTTAAATAGCTTCATGATTTCGACAAAAATATCTTCTGTTTCTTTTCCTGATTTTTCAAAACATCTCCTGGTCAACTGCTGGTTTTTTCGGCAGAAACTCCTGGTTTTAGAAATTTGAGTTTGGCAACCCTGATTTGTAGATGAAATAGGAATACTAAAACAAAAATCAGAACAATTCAAAATTCAAATATTTGTTTCTTGTCCTATTAAACTTCAAGCAGATATTACGTACCTAGGTGAACACAAAACTGGATCGAATACTTTTTGAGTAACATGGAAGTGTGGAGAGATTTATAAAGAAGAACCAAACCAGATTTAAATAAATGTATATCAAAATCTAAAGAAATAGTTATGAATAGCGATATTAAATCGAATTCAGAGATTGTACGACACCATAAAAACAGCATTCATCAATGTACATTTGATTTGTGGGGAAGCATTTGTCTTTTATCAGGAGATTCGTGGGAAATAAAAAATGAATCATAGCATAGGTTTGTTTCATCATTCAGAGTTCGATAAATTATCATAATATTTTTTAGTGTATAATGACCTTCTTTTTTATGTGAAGCATCTACAATGATCAATAGAGTCATGGAAATCACAGAAAAAAGAATTTATCTATGGTGAGAATGCAGGATGTTGACAGTGGAATAGAGGAAGAAGATCATTGGCCTATAACTTCAAGCAGTTTCATCATCTTGCCGTCTCACTATCACATGGCTAATTTAAGAAGAAAAGAAAAAGAAATCAAAATGGCAAAAAAAAATACATTTATATTCAACGTTTGAAGAAGATCTTACAATTGTGGAAACTTTGGGTTATTATTTTTTTAAATGATTATTATACAGATATTATAATTAGCTCCAATGATTTGTTTGTATTTTATTTTAATTTTAAAAAGCATGGCACACCAAAATAAATATTTAAAATGAACACTCAAAATATTCAATCAATTCAAGATTAAGTTTCGTACAAAGAAAAAAAAACAAGCTTTGTTTTGACTATGTGCATGTGATAGTTTTGTGCACATTATGATGCTTTCTTTTTGTATTTGTATCATATTGGTATGAAGGACAAATGAGAGAACAAGAAAAAAAGATGAAATTTGCAAGGAAAAAAGAAGTATGTTGTGATAATATTGTCATCATTATTTTTCGCATACTGTGATACTCATTGATAATTTTGTGCACAGTCACCTTTCGAGTATACAAACGACGCATGAGAGAGCAAGCAAATAGTGATTAAATTTCCGCATCGAAAAAAAAGGCATGGTTTGACATCATTCTTATCATTTTTCGCGATATAGTTGGATGCGTGAAGCAAACGAAATTTTTAAAGTATATATACACAAGAAAATGCTTTCGTTTGAGCACAGAACAAGATCGATAAGAAAGTAGTGTTCTCGTCGTGATCAAGCAAAATTATCTACGAATACAACGAGAAAGGGTATGTATACATGAAACTGTAGTCTGTCTAAATTTCTCTAGTGATAACCATAGAGGATACTTTTCTGTAATTAAGTAGTGCAAATAAATAGTAGAGATCAGCTACTGTAAAGCTAATCATCTCACAAAGGATCTGTAATTATTTTAGTCAATTTAGTTTGTGATTTCCGACTTACAATGGAGGGGTCTGTATTGTCAGTCGAAAAAGTGGCACATGTTCGGGTCAAATGAAAACTGTCAACGTCAAGCTCACAAGGTTAAAATATTAGCTGCTTATGACTTGCCTAGAGGGAGATATTTAACTTTTAAGTGAAGGTGCAAAAATGAATCAGGAAAGGTCTTCTTCACTATTATAAGGACAAAACATAGTGTTGTTCGGGCTGATTATAGGATTTGTANCTAGAGGGAGATATTTAACTTTTAAGTGAAGGTGCAAAAATGAATCAGGAAAGGTCTTCTTCACTATCATAAGGACAAAACATAGTGTTGTTCGGGCTGATTATAGGATTTGTAGGGTCCCTCTTTCATATGACCCCAACAACACTATGTTTTGTCCTTATAATAGCGGAGTGAATTTTTCTAGTGATTGATAGAAAATGCCGTTTCTATAACCTACAGGAAAAATTCACTCTACTATTATAAGAACAAAACATAGTGTTGTCCGGGCCATATGAAAGAGGGTCCCTACAAACCCCCTAATCGCCCCGAACAACACTATGTTTTGTCCTTATAATAGTGAAGAAGACCTTTCCTGATTCATTTTTGCACCTTCACTTAAAAGTTAAATATCTCCCTCTAGGCAAGTCATAAGCAGCTAATATTTTAACCTTGTGAGCTTGACGTTGACAGTTTTCATTTGACCCGAACATGTGCCACTTTTTCGACTGACAATACAGACCCCTCCATTGCTAGAAATAAAACTTTTCAAACTTCTGTTCTTTAGCCATTCGAAGAAGTTTGATCTCGCCGAAAATAAAATAAGATAATGTATTATAGTAAAAATAAGTGCTCCGTAATTTTGTGGAAACGGCACTCTTTCAATTCAAAGAATATCTACTTTCCTTTATAATGAAGAGTAAAGATAAATGGTTCATTTATCTTGAAAAAAATAAAGAAATAGAAGATTTTCTATGAGAGATAATGCAATAGAATGAGTTCTAATTATTTTACTGTATTTTATTTCCTACGTTCTCACAACTCAATTTTTACATACCTAGGCTTTCCCTCAAGCGTTGAAACAATTTTTTAATCGTCATTGTACTAAACTTCTTTCAGTTAGATAGCATCAAGTGTGTGGATTAAAAATGTCACCTTCTTCTTCAACAGCACTCAGATAATAAGAAACATCTAAAGCACTTTCTGGAAGCCTTGAAAACCAGTTTTTTACCTGAAAGTCCATTAAAAACCGAATTAGGTTCGCCAAAAATGGGTTCATCTGATGCAAAATTATTTTCTCTATCGGAATCTATGAGAATGCCTTATATATTCAAGAATTTTCTATCAATCAATACCAAAAAGTTGTTTCCATCGCGTGGTGTTGTTAAAAGTAGTAAGCTTTCACTTTTTATGACGCTAAAGTTTCTCCGAATGCACTAGTGAATTTCTTTTAATCCAATATATGATCCAATGTGCTTTTTCTCATGACATCATTTTCCGTTTGAAAGTTGATGTCTAATAAAATGCTTTTGTTCTAATCACTTTCCTTGAGAGTCAATCTAAATCATTTTCCAGTGCAAAAACCCTCTTTTGACTTCAGGCGAATCTTGGATTCGAAATCTTTATGCATGTTTTAAATTGTTTCACGAAGTTTTTTTCGATGAAATTTTTATTTATCATTCTCATCGGGGATATCTCAAAAGTGAACTTCACTAAAGAAGGATCGGACCATTGGAAACGTAGCTCTCCACTTGTAAAATGTCGTTTTGTGATATAATCTGAGGAATCTAAATATTTAAATAGTTATTTTATTGATGCGGGTGTCACCGAAATGAATTTCAGGTCAACACTCACACCCACACCCTCATCAGAATCCTTACTTGAATTATCTGATATAGCTCAAGAACAATTACGTGCATTAGAAAAACTTAATTTTACAAATATTCATACAAAATGTCAACAAGAACTTGAATCATGGCATTCAGCAGCTATTGGACATTTAGGTCAAATATATTCACAACGTTTAACTGATTTAGCTCAAGTTTATACTCAAGATGTTTGTCCAGATGCTGAAAAATATAAACAAAAAGTGACTGAACAACTTAAACATCGTATTATGCCTCGAATAAATAAAATTCTGGATGATCCAACACCTGATCCAGAAAAAGTCGAAAAAATGCAGGTTCGTACAATTATGTTTCTTTCTAATGGAATCAGTATAAGAGAGTTATTCTGATCAAGAAAGGAGTGAATGCAAAAATTTTTATCATTTTTCTACTCTTTTAAACTTCGAAATTTTATCGATCTTATTCTGTTGAATTAAGTCAAAAGAAAAACTCTTTGATTAGAGCTCGGTTACATATCGAAACTAATCGAATAAGTTTAGAACTCACCGGGTTCTTTCTTTAGTAATCTAATGTTGTCATATATATCATAATAGAATAGATTATTTGATTGGACAAGATGAATATTTTAATATTTTAGAATGTCTTATGTCATATGAAATCTGAATGTAATATGATGCGTGATCGTCAATGGATTCGTATTCAATTACCTGATATAAAAAGTTTATCGATTCCAATCAAAATTATTAAAACAGCTGTATCAAGTCATTTAAGTGAACATGGAAAAGAATTATTTGAAGGTTTAAGTGATGATGAAAATAAAACGGAAGATGAATCACCTGCTTAAAAAAGACGTAAAACAACTACAATTGATGTTATGGATGTATTTACAGTAAATCCTGAATCAATTAAAAATTATTCATTAGAAACAAATTCATCAACATTAGTACTTTCAAATACGCATATTCTTGTTCATGATAATCATAAATTTATTTGATTTGATTATCATGAAAAATGAAGTGACTTTCAATGGAGTGATAATGATTATGGTTTGTTTCTTTTTTTTGTGTGAATTTTGCTTAAAAGTTTTTTAAAGAAAATAACTTCGTCAAAAAACAATGTAGGGGGAGAGGAGAGGCATGAAGAAGAAGAAGACAGAGATAAGTGATAGTTTGTAAACTTTCTGTTCAAAATATGGAAATAAATATACTCGGTATATTTTCCTGATGATCGATTATATTTTGAGAAGAACTATAACTTGCTAGAGGTTTTCCAATGGACTTATTTTGATATATATATTTTTTTTGTTTTTATTGAGTTTTCTTTTTAAGGTATTCTGGTTGATATGTGTTGGATGCCATCGATATCTGTATTTGTTATATTAACAATTCATTCTGTATATTTATATGATCCATTAAAATCAAAACCAAATCTTCCAGTTAAAATTGATGCAATTCAACCATTAGATAGAACACATGCATTAGCATCATTATCACCATTTGAACGTGATCTTTATATAAATTATCATAAAGGTATTCATATGGATCATTATCGTGTATCATTAACATCACAATGGTCATTAGAAAAACGTTATTCAAAATCTAATTGTTGTGAAACAAAAGATATTGGAATGCGTGATGTTCGATGTGATTCACAATATATTTGTTTATCAATAATGCAACAAGATGATTTAAAATGGAGATTAGATATAATGTCACGTGATATGAAACGTATACGACGTGGTGTTGTTATGGATGCTGGAGAAAATTAACATCATTTTTTTTCAATGCTTATACCACTTCATGATCAACGTTGGTTATTTGTTAATTGGTATACAAATAAAATTTGGATGGTTGATCAACAAGGAAAAGTAAAATTAATTAAAGAAACAAAAATAAGAAACATTCGAAATGTTTGTATTTCTCCAAATGGTTCTTATATGGCCATAAAAACTGAAAAACCAACGGCTCTTAAACTTTATAAACTTAATTAAATCTTGTTTGTTTGTCTTTTTTTCTTTTTTTGTTGTTGTCAATAGTTCTCTCTAATAATAATAATAATAATAACAACATCTCGGTTAACTTGTCTTATCATTGAATTAAAATGCTCTTCTTACCAAAAGATAGCGCTCTTTCAAATGGTATATCACTTACGTTTATAAGAATTCATGTTTAATACATCTTCATCAATGAAATGTGACTAGAATGAAAGAGAAATATGCACGCAATCAATTCATCATTTTCAATCATCAACAGTATCTTGATAGACAATGATCAATTCGATTCTTTTATAGCTCTTCCAGACGGCAGCTAATTATAATTAATCGTCATTTACAAGATATTTTTTTTGCAAAAATTGAAAATTCACTGAGCTATCTAATTTCATTTATAAATATAAATCATATACCGTTCGAAAGAGAAGAAAATTTTCTATCAATTGATACCAAAATTTTCTTTTTAGCACGTATTTATCGAAGCGATACAAAGATCGACATTTTTGTACCTTATTTCTAGAAAAAAGTGCAGCATTTTTTTAAGACTGTCTCTCTTTTTTATTATGTTGTTTCATTTATAGATGCAATATAAAAATAAATGATATACCATTCGAAACAGAAGAAAAAACGCTATCTTTTGGCAAGAAAAACTTTCTATCCAAGTGAAATATTGATCAACATTTTGTACCATTTCTTTTGAATCGTACGTTAAGTAGAAACAACTCATTAATTATGATAAATATTTTGTATATTAAACTTATTTATTAAAAAATATAATTGACAAAGAATACAGTTGTTTATCAAAAACGTTGTTCGAATTCAATGAAATTTCCACTCCTAGTGAAACTAAATAAGATACATTTATTATCAAATTTTGAGTTTGATAGATTTTGTTGAAGAGGTGTTATAATGAAAGTATTTGCACATTAATTTAATGTAGCACTGGGAAAAAACATCGTCCCATACTCTATTACATAGAAAGCTGAATGCTCTACATTTCTATACTTCTCGAAATATTTTCATGATACTCGTTGAAATTCTTTAGAAACACGAAGAAATTGAGGCTTTCTTATGCCTGGTCTAATTTGAAGTATCGGACTGAAATATTCTCCAGAAGCATTTCTCATTAGGACTAGTCATTCTTGAAAATTTAAACTCAAATGTACCATCCTTAGTGAAGAATTAGATTATTTATTATTTACTGAGAAACTTTAGCTCATTATCCATTACTATTATTTAAATAAGCTTCTTATTAGTGTTTTCCAATTTGATTTATTCTATCAATTAGAAAAACTAAAAGTATAGAAAATAAAATTTCTTTTTTGTGGAATCATCAAAAGAGAAACAAAGAAGACACTGTTGTTGGAGTAGATGATTACAAAAATCTACTAAAATATTTACAAAGATTAACATTTAATCTCACTTCAACAGTTACAAACATTGAATTTCATTTGACTCTCGTGAAACTTTTGGATTTCGAAGTATTCAAGGAATTGAAGACATTATCATACACTTACACAGTCACTTGATTTTCTTAAATTCATTGAATTTCCAATTTCTGGACAGTGTGTATAATGAATCAAGCAAGATTTCTACATTAATTTTATTTTTGGATACAGTGATGTGAAAGAATGACTAGGAGATTTCATTTTCTTTTTATTACACGAAACAAATGCTTTTTTTTTGGTTACTGGAAATTTGCAAATATGACTTTCGTCAAGTAGTGAGTGCCCAGTGGGTAAAAGTATATATGACAAGTTAATCTAAGAAAATAATCATTGGACTTTTCAAAAAAAAGATGTTTTTATATATCAATAAGGAATCAATTTCATTTGTTACTTATTATATAAAAATAAAGGATTATTCAAACTTTCGACTCGATCAGTAAGTTAATAGGATCTATTATGAATGAAATACATAATTTTGTAGAATGCTTCACTAGTTTCATCTTATATTTCATTGAGAAGAAATTTTTTTCATTAACAGCGGTATGTATTTTTATCCGAAAAGATTTAATACAAAATTTGTCGCTTCAATAGAATAATATTCATCATATTAGCTGATTATGATTTTAATTTTGTAGCATTCTTTATATTCCTAAAAGTATTCATATTGACAATCTTGTTTTGGAATGTTTTGTCTAATATTCTACTCGCTTGGATATATTTTTCAGAAATTTTTGCAAGTTTCATTAAAATTCTCCTAGTGTACATTTTAATATTCAATAGAAGATGATGCTAGATAAATGAATATTATTCCATTGAAATGATAAGTCTCCTATAAAACACTTTCAGAGGTGAAAGACATACTACTATTTTGAAAAAGAATTCAAAATTGATGCAATATCAAAAAAGCAGTGGAATATATTGATATATTTCAAAGTATCTTCATATTAGATAAAGCTCTGTCTTTTCCTCTACTAAGTCATATACTTCGATCAATTACCATTAGTTTATTGATAGGAGTCGAAACTTTTCAATCACCTTTTATTATGTCTAAAAAACACACGAATAGCAATAGAGAAAAAGGAATCTTTGGTAGAACTTAAAAAGATCTATGAGAAAAAAATAGAAAAGGCAGATCAAACAATTTGACTCAGTCACCTATAGATAATCAGATCAAAATAAAGAATTTGTAACTAACCTCTTGCTTTTTCTAACTAAAAATTCTAAAATATTGTTATCTATATTCATCGTAGAAATACAGTACATGTAAAACAAGAAGTAAAATACCTGATGTTTGTGGTATGTTAGAATGAATTATTAGTGTGCCGATAGCTGTAGTTATACTTATAATGATAGAGAATACACAAACAGCTTTTTGTAAGACATACGTAGTCTGTGAAACCATGAAACTTCTTAAAAAGACAACAGGTAACCAAATTAACTTTATCATTCACTGGACTCATCTCAATGTACAAGGAAATAGTAGTTAAGAAAGGACACATCTTTGATATGAGCACATACGTAAATTTATAAAAATCATGACTTTTCAGAAGAATTTGAACAGTTTGTTCAAGATTTTGATCAATAAATTTACTAGCGATCAAAATCTTTTCGCATAAATACTACATTGTATTGAAATAACTATTAAGGTTGCTGATTCAAATATTTCATTGACTAGCGAATACTTCAGTCAGAGTTAACAGATATGTTTTTTGTTTTTGTTCTCAATGCATAGTTTTTAAAATAACCAATCACATAACTATTAACTATTTCTACCAGCGGTCCGCAAGGTTTCAGCATCATGATTTGACGGATCGTGACCTTGCAAAGTCCTCTTTTTCTTTTGAATAAGTTTTGAAAAATTTATATTCCAAAGATTCAAACGTAAAGATTTTAACCAATAATATCTCAGAGTTTCTAAATTTCGTCGATGGCGAATGCCCGCGAAAATGTGACTTCAGGGAATACTATATTGGAGAATGTTATTTTGGCGGAAATTGAGGAATCTTTTATTTTAATAAATGCAAAAATATGCATTATATTTTGTTTATATGGTGGCGTCCTCTATTTAGTTGAGATTTTATTATAATAATCGTAAAAATTCCGCATTTCGAAAAAACAATATCTGAAGATGAAGTTTATCCTAATTTTCTTTTTTATACATCGCATTGTACATTAATGCTTCCTGTTCACACTTCATCTGTTGATTGACTGTTCATATGATAAAATATGCTCTCCATTTTCATATTTCTATACTTTCGAACAAACAAACAGACACAATTAAACTAATAATAGAATATCTATCTTATTAGTGTGCACTTATATTATTTGATGTTCTTTTTATTTATTTATTTTAGAAACCTACTGTTGTTTTTTCGAAATAACAGCAATGACTACTGATACAATAGATATAGATGCTCAACTTCAATTAAATTCATATTTAAAAAATAACTTTATTGAAGGTTTTGCCATTAAAAATTTCCGTGAACGCTATCTTATACCAAGTAGTAATAACATTTTTGGTGGCGTTCAAATTGAATATATTCTAATCGATAGTAGTTCCAATTCTTCCTTATTTCCATTACCAATGACATTAAACAATACGTTCGATATTAATATTTTATTAAAAAATTTTCCATATGATAAACACATATGGTCAATTGGAACAGCACATGGTGTTGGTCTATTACCAGATACAACATTACATATTAAACCTAAAGAATCAGATGATGGATCACTTTGTACAATAAAATGTTCTTTACATGTTGACATTAAACCACTAGAATTTCAATTACCATACATACGTTTTTTATTGGACGAACAATCAATAAAAGTTTTACTTGAAACAAATGAAATTCCATTCTCAGCAACAGAAAAAGGAATATTACGAAGTAGAATAAGTTTTTTCAATGAATTTGGAAAAAATTTTCCATCTATAAGAAGTACAAAAAAGCGTGAATATTGTCTACTTGGACAACACTTTCTCAAAAATTTATGTACAATACAAATAAATGATACTATGGTTTTTGTTAATAAAAATAAAACACGTGAAAAATTATTTCCACTTGCTAATAGGAGTATTAATGAAGTGGCTGATTATTTATACCATGAACGTCCATTGTTTTCAAGAACAGAAAAATTTTTGATGTGTGAAGATGATGAACATGGTGGATCTGATTTTTTGAATATTTCGGGTAATATAATTGACATTGATGAACATTTAAACTAAGTAATAAAAATAATGACACACAAGTTCATCTATTAATATATGCATTATAGTCATAATTGTCAGACGATATTTGTATTTGTAAAACATGATCATTTTTTTTTTCATTTGCTCTTTTTTTCTTCATATTAAATAACGATCTGAAACTAATAATTCAAGTTATCTTAATTCGATTTTTAACCCGAACTGGTGGTTTTTTATTTGAAGATGCCTTTTCTTCTGCATAAAAAGTTCAAATTCGAAAAGGATATAAAACTTTTCAGGTAGAAAAGTATTTTTCAATGAAGTATGAACACACACTAATAGTTTGTTTTCATGAAAATGACTGTAAAATTTCGAAATTTTACATCTCTTTATTTCAAGAAGGCTTTAGTTGGGGCATGAATTGAGTATACTATTATGTAGAGCAAAGTTGGTGCTTCAACACACTATAGTCCTGAATTCTGCAGAATTCTGCATAAGCGAGAACTATTTATTACAGTATATAACTTTTTCACTATTGATGAACATAGGTCATACAACGTATCATCTTATCCACCAATAGAAACGCTCTAAAGGAATGATTCTTTTATTCTTATATAGACCTCATATATATGTATATAATCTAATTGAAATCGATAATCAATTATCATATTACGATGGCAAATAATATACCTTAGAAATAGGTACTTTTTGTATATTATATTATTATGCAGCAGATTCATGAATATGAGGTTCGAATTTTACAGCGGATCATTTAACTAGTGTTTACGAAAGAAATGACAATACACTAGAAGTTCTCCATTGTGAAAATCATCTGGGACGTTTATATGCGTTCACTATATAGAGGTGTACAATATAGAAAAATTCTATGCGTTCTTTAGTATGATATGAAGAAAAGACGAATACGGTCAAAAATGTCCTCGTTATATAATGTTCCTTGTAAAAAACGTCCTTGTGACATAATGTCGCTTGCAAATAATGTCCGTGAAAAAGAGGATTCTTGGAGATATTATTCTCCGAAAAAATATCAGGGGGACATTTTGACCGGGAACATTTTTTCCAAGGACTAAATAATTGAGGATATTTTTTTCTAAGGACTAAAATTCAGCGACATTTTTGAAAGGACATTTTTCCGAGGATATTTTAGACTTACTGAAAAGACTCCGGAACATCTACTTCTGCAGTAATCTTAGATAATTTTTCTTTCACGTAGAGGTTCCAGCTTATACTTCCACTTTGTTATTGAAAGCACTCGATTCAGTACTATGTGCATTATTTTTTTCCGTTTAATTTACATTGTGATAAGCCATTATCCTTATTATTATCATAAATTAATTTAATCTTTGCCTGCAAAGTAAAGTCAAATGGTGGTTTCATTGTTTATTATCGATATATATATATATATTGGCTGAATCATATATAAATTGCATGTTTTCGTAATGCTTGAAGAATATATGATACAACAAAAAAAATGGGATCAAAAAATATATATATTCACATTAGATAAGCTAAATTAGGAAAAAACACCGTAAATAGAAGAGGATTTTCAGCAAACAGTGCTTCCTTGAACCGGATATCACTCGTAATGTGAAGGTATTCACTAGTGAGGGTTTTATTGCAGTAACTTATGTATCTATATGCATTTATATATTTAACATACATCAATAATTTCGAAAGTAGTGAATAACTACCTAGCACAAGATTTATCTAATTGATGTTCATATAGAAGTAGAAATAGAAAAAAAAAGAAATTAATGTTTAAGATGCGTTGATTCTATAGAAAAAGTTCAATGAGATCTTGAATTTTAATAATGTGAAAACGGTAATGAATAACTATACGATTTGATGAGAAACTCATCAATTACCATTCCAGACAGCTTTTAAGTGGGAAAATGTATTTCCTCTTCAAATGCGTTAACATTAAAAACACATTTAGCCGATATAATATCACGTTTTCAGATGCATCACATGATTATAATTTCATTATTAATTACTCAATAATATTTTAAATCAATATATTAATCGTTGAGAACTTTTAAATAGCTTGCATACTACAAATTTCGCAAAGAAAGACTCGTTAACAATAGAAAATGGTGTTGATGGTTCTTGCATTAGAAATCTAGATTGTTTTTCTGAACTCCACTGATTCTCAGGAAACAACTAATTATTTTCAAACGAAGTTCGACACTATATATTGAATTTAATTATTATTTTGCGTGGACATTCTTTGTTTTAGATACGTGTACTATAGATAACGAGATAACTCAATGCATTCATCTGCTGCAACAGCTATATTTACTGTAAATCTTGTCTCTATCAATGACAACTAGTTAGCTAGAAATTTAAAACGAGTTTTGAAAAATATATTTCGTGTTGCAAGGGTTTGACAAGAAATTGGTTTTAGCAAAATTCAATTTAGTTAGTATTCAACTGGAAGGGACCATAAATTGAAATATCATTTAATTTTCCACCCATTCGGTGCCATACTGAGTCCTTGCCTACAGAGAAATGTTTAATGCAAGAATCTTTTTTGTTTTTCATGAATTCGATCTAAATTATTATATCTAGGCTTACGATTTACAAATTGATAACATTTTCAAGTTAAAACAGCAATAAGAGTGAGTTCAAGCAGACTACAACAATTTTTATTAGTGTTAAAATGTAATGAATAGATCAAGATGTTCGAATATTGACGAATGAAAGTTATATAATTCATTCAAAATAAGATTACTGGTTTTAATCATACTATCTAAATTATAATTGACTTGAACCACGATCATCCTAGACTATAATTTAATGTTTAGCTACGCAAAAAACAAACTGTCAACAAAATGAGTTAAAAGCAATCCTACTTTTTTTTGTCGAATTAATAAAATGCTACTTACAGTTTGACAAACGAATTTCATAAGATATTAATCGATTTATAATGAAGGTGTGAAATAAAACGTAGCATGGTTTATTTCTTTTACACCAGAATAATCTATTAGAAGATTGACTCTAAATATGTAAAATGCAATACCTACTTGTCTTGCCACTACAACGATTGGAAATCTTTGGCTGTGCTTTTGCTTCTAGTACATTTGAGTACGTCAATCAGCTGATGTCTCTATCTATGGATATATGTAGTCTGAGCATGTTCACATCTATGAACGAATCCTATTTGTGAGAGAATTACAATGTTCCATAAAGAGAAAGTCCATAAATAGGTTGTGACCTAGAACCGAAAATAAGTACCTTTACTCGTAATGGAATGAAAATAATCTGATTAATATAGTAGTAATAATTGAAATTATTGGCAATTGTTTATCGATGAACACAGTTTCAAGAGACTACTGCTTGACTTTTGATGGAAAATACTGAGAAATTTATAATGGTAGATAACCAATCAAGAAGCAGTGAAAGCGAAAAGCGAACTTCATCGTTTTTACAATTAACAATTATTACTGAGTTGCTTTTTAGTTATTTTTGTGGGTATGTAGAACAAACCTTATGTGAGATGCATCTATTTTCGTTATTATGAAACAAATCAATTCTTTTTTGAGAACGCTTTTTTTCGTTAAAATCTATTGATATATTCATTTTTTTCTCGGTTATCGTGTATATCGCTATACTTTATTTTTACTTTGACTTTCACAAGACTTAGGCAACATTTATCTTCTTTGACGAAAAATTTTCATATGAATGATGATTAACATGTCACATTAGAATTGGTGATGATACTTAACTTCATAAACACATTTCTATCGTCGACAAATGCTTCTATTGAACAATTTTTCATTATACTTTTTCATAATTATCATCAAATTAAATTTCAAGCATCTTCATTTTTTCTGTTTATTTCTGTATCGCTGTGCTTAAAAAGGACGTGTAAGTCTCTTTTCTTTCTTTGATATTTTGTTCTTTGTTCATTTCTCACAACGCATACATTCATATCAGCATACACAGTTCACTATGCTAACTCAAGTTGGCCTATGTATTATGTTAATGATGATGCTTTTTCTTAGAATATGCACTGCAATGCCTGCTTCATCATCAAATATAGGAACACAGAACAAGGAACTATCTGACGCATTCATGCTTGAACAATACGGTGTTGATTCGAATAATTTTTTGACTGATCGCCAGTACGAAGACGATCACATCAACGAAGATGATATCTTTCCTGAAAAAAGACAATTAAACAAAAAATGGGCAAAATTTTATCAAGGACCTCAATCACCTTATACCATTGCTTTTCCTGCTCTTATTCGTACTCGAAGATGGATCGAACAACGAAATTGATTTTCTCATAAAAACAATGTATACATGAACTCAGTTGATTTATTTATTTTATCTGTCTACTAATAAACAAATAAAATATCAATAAATTGAATACATAAATAATTGTTCTCTTTTCTTTACAAGTATTTGTATCCGATCGCTTATGTTCTACATTCAAAACTCGAGATTAGAGCTTTTATATTTAAAATTTCATAAAATTTTGAGGATGAGTTGAGACTATTGTAAAATCTTCAGCCCTATACTATGATGTTTTCAGGTAACATTCAATAAATACAGAAATGCTTAATTTGTAAATATGGCAATGCGTATGGATCTTGATCTTTGATATATTTTTTCTGTTTGATTAAAGCCTTCTTTTTGACAGTCTTACGAATTATACAGAGAGAAGAAATGAAAAGTTCAATGTCTTGAAGACTATCAAGAAGATATTACTGTAATTATAAAAATAATTTTTCTAAAGATATAATAGCAAGTAGGTTTTCATTTGAACAATGACTTCACTACACTGTATATTTGGTATGTGTTTTTATAAGCAAAAAATGGAGTAATTGGTTGTAATTAAACGACTTTCACTATTTATTGTAGGACACATACGATTGAAAACTGTATCCTTAGAGAAGAAACAGAAAAATGACTCCTGCTTTTCCTGAAAATAGTTCATTCTTCAATGATACAATGACAAAAGTTAACAAAAACTTTTGAAATAAAGTCAAGTGGTTTACGAAAAGTCTGATCTCTTGTAATTTTTTCGCAGATTTGTCGATTTTTTTGAGAAAAGCACGAAAGTTTTATTCACGTTGATCACCAAAAAATGGAAAAATTTGTCTTTGTATCTATTTAGAAATATAAGAAACACAGCAGTATAGAAAAGAAATGAATTTTGTTGGATCTAAAAAAGAAAAATGTGCGCATGCGTAATTTTAATTATTCAACCATTGGCTACCTGAATACATAATATAAATTCAACTTAACGAAAAAAATTCAATCCATTTTGTTTCTAGAAGAATAAAAATATATCACTCTGCTATATATCTAAATTAGAAAAGTATATTCTCTTCTTTAATACAAAATTTGATCAACAGTTTTAGCATCGAAACTAAGATCAAATTGATGCAGCAAATACTATTATAGACTATCATATTCGTAAAACTGTCTCTCAAGCAGCAAGTGATATTGAAAAAATATGTAGGTTAAAATGTTTATTCAAACGCTTAGGTCATTTTCATCTTATTTTGAACAGCTTTGAAAATCAATTATCTAGTATCTAGCACTGTCAATTAGGCTACTATCTACAATACGAAATAAATCATATTTACATGTCTAAAAGAATGTAATAAAACTATTGCACAAATAGTGTTCTATCTCTCTCTTTCTCTTTCTCTTTGTATTCACTTTTTAGAAAACCACCTTTTTACTTGTACAAATTTTAAATAAATATTCGTAGGTTATATGAGAAGAACCCGTGACGCTAACGAAAGTGATCTGTTACGCAATTTTAAAAATTGGCTTACTCCAATAATGTCGAAAAGTAAAACTGTTGAAACTATAATTATTATTATTTTAATATTTTTATTTTTGGCTTAAGTAAGATTTACCGTTATTCTACACCCAGGTGAAAAAGCGAGACTTCCATTCTTTGGACTACATGTAGAGTACTCTGAGTGCTGTTTACCCACCCGCTATAATTCAACTAATCTTAGCTTGACACATAAAAGATCAATATTTTCTACTAGTTTATTTTTCCTATTTTTCAGATGTAAACATTTTTAAAATTCGATTTAGTATTTTTGTTTTAAACTTAACTTTATGTGACACAGATGTTTACTATTATTCTGACTAAAAAATAGCCAGAATCATGAAAAAACTAATCAATCGAAACGCAAACTAAAGTTGAAGCAATAGTGAAGCATTTGATATTGAACTCGAAATTTCTTTATATATTCTCGGGTATCGACTTTTCTATTAGTAACTAAATTGTATATATAATCATATTGAAATAACAAAAACAATGAGTCAATTTAGTGGACAAGATCAATGTGCCAATAATGCATGGACATCCATTATTGTTCACATATTTGGCGTCCGTCTTTTTAATTACCCTTTGGGACTGTCGTGCAGGCAGGACTATTACTTTCTCATCAGTGTTATGGAATGTGTTATTCTCAATGGATGTTGTACAACTTACTACTATCATTAATGTATCTGATCTTCTTCTAAATATTATCCGTATATCATTGCGCAATGTGGTTACGTTTCTGAACGTAATTAATGTAAGGTGGAAGTGTCTATCATATCTTTTTTCTGTTCTTTC